GTAGCGCATGCTTGTAATTCCGGCTACTTGGAAGGCTGAGGCGGAAGGATCACCGGAGCCCAGCAGGTCGAGGCTGCGGTGGCCGGGAGCGGCCACTGCACTCCAGTCTGGGCAACAGAGTGAGACTCCAACTCAAAATTAAATTAAATTAAATTAAAATTTAAAAAAAATTCGCCGGACGTGGTAACGCGCACCTGTAGTTCCAGCTACTTGAAAGGTTGAGGCGGAAGGGTCGCCAGAGCCCAGCAGATCGAGGCTGCGGTGGCCAGGAGCAGCCACTGTACTCCAGTCTGGGCAACAGAGTGAGACTCCAACTCGAAAAAACAAAAACAAAAACAAAACAAATGGAAAATATGTGTTGGTGAAGACATTGAGAACTAGAAAACTTTGTACATTGCTGGTGGGAATGTAAAATAACGTAGCCACGCTGGAAAACAGTTTGGCAGTTCCTCAAAATAGTTAATCACAGAGTTACCATATGACTTCGAAACTCCTCTCCTAGGTAAATAACCAAGAAAAATGAGAACATACGTCCACACAGACACTTGTACATGAATGTTTATAGCAGCATTATTCATAGTAACCCAAAGGCAGAAACAACCTAAATGTACATCAATCAATAAATGGATAAATTGTAATATGTACATTCAGTGGAATACTATTCAGCAATAAACAAGAACACAGTAAAAATTTTCAAAAAGCACAAAGTACCGATACATGCAAAAATTTGGATGAAATTCAGAAACATTAGACTAAATACAAGAATACCAGCACAAAAGGTCACATATTGCATAATCCCTTTTACATGATATATCCAGAATAGCTTAAGTACATAGAGACAGAAAGTGCATTAATGGTTACCAAAGGGGGAAGGGGAGAATGAGGGAGTGGTTATTATTTTTTTTAATTTTGAAATTAAAGAAAGATGGCAGTTGCACCAAAATGGCAATACACTAAATGAAACTGAATTGTATACTTGACATGGTTAGGTTTGTGTTATGTGAATTTTAGGCCAATTTAAAAAGATTAAGGAAATCCAATTCAGGGGGAAAAAATTATCCATGGTGTGTCTGTCTCTCCGTAACACGAATTAATGAATTCTTTTTAAGTACCCTAAATCACAACATACTCTACAATTTCAAATTCAACAGAAGACTAGTCTATTGTGTATCA